CCCACCTGCCCCTTATTCGCGATCGTAAACAACCCATCAAACCCATAAAGAGGAAAACAACACCGACCACTGCCATTTGCGAATCAACACACAGGCCCTCTTCGCGTAGCCTTCCTTCGTCACATGATTACAACTATGGCAGCACAGGCTAGAGGCTTATAAAGCAGTTCCATTCCATGGAAACCCCTTCCAATCTGGTCCTTCTTTCATGAACCCAGGTAGTATGCATCCCATGTACCTGACATCTTCAGGCTATCCCTCCAGCATCACCGACAACAAAAATGGATGATACCGGAAACAAATACCAAAAAAAAAGACTAACCCATGTTCCCTTCGCGTGGATTCGCTCCGGCCTGGAATATGGTGTGGAATCTTATTTATGGCGCGGCAGTCACACCAGATTTATGCATGACTCGAAATTATAGACGTTAACCCTAAACCAATTATTACCGCGAGAAAATCAGCCTCCGTTCTTTTTTTGTTCGTACTTAAGGAGGAGGATAGTTAACTGTATCGATAGAATACCGCTCGCTCTTTGAGCTAAATCAGAGGAACAGCACATCATTTTCTACTTTTTCGACATGAACGGAAGAAGCACTCCGAATCCGCCAGTGGTCGACCAACATTAACCAGACCAGCCCAAGAAGGTCCAAATCCACAAGAGGAAAGAGGCAACATGCACAATCTTCAGCGGCGTCTCCAGAGACAACCGCAACAATTTCAAGTTGTCCCTCCGTACGACAATTCCTTTGTGGGGCGCTCTCAAGTTGTTTCTGCTAGAGCGTTACGAACTACTGTGGACTTCATTGGAGATAGTTCTGATGAAGAGGATTACAAAGAACATGTGCTTTGGGGTGTTCTTCTATACATCACAACGCCTAACAGCGTATCAGGAGATAAGGATATGTGGTACCAAACATCAAAATATAACAAAAAAGCAAAAACATCTGTCCAAGGATACAAACGTATATACTATTTTGGAGACGGAGAAGAGAGTCCTTTGTCCCCATTTGCTCTCCGTCTTTGCCAAATCATTTGAATCAACATCAGCAGGAACATAACACATATTGGATGCGTGACAGTGGCAAGAAAGGTGTTACCGTTGGTGCAAGATTTGCAATTCTATCTCCAAAGCCTGTTGGCATCCTCAAGAACGGAGCATCTCTGATTCAAACTGGACGACCATTTGAGATGCTTTCTGGACCACCTATTCCTATGAAGCCTTATGAACCTCACAAAGTCAAACGAGAGATGACCTTCTTCGTTCTGAAACAAACAGAGATCAAGAGGCAGAAACTTGGTATGCCTGTTGCTATCAATACCCTATGCAGCGCAGAAACTTGTGACCGAATCAAAGCTGGTACAAATGTAGCTGCTCAATGTGCTTGCTTTGCACAGTATTCCAGAAACGGGAGTACAGCAAGGAACGTATGCATTAAACTTGACTTCTCCTTCCAATCCAATGGAGAACGGGTCTCTATTGACAACTTTACTTCTCTCCGTACTAGTAGATTGCTCTTTGATAATGAAACGATTTCTGTGGACTGCCAGACCCTGCATCATAATAACATTGCGACTGAAATTGCAAAGACTTGGAAAAAAATCGTCAAGCATGTCAACGAAAATGGTGGCTGGACCATTATGGGGTGGTTCGTCAGAGCCATTAAGAATGAAGAAGACAAGCAAGAGAATGACGAAGATGCAATGCATGAATCCATCAAGACTAATATAACGTATTTGTATCCAACAACCTTGAAGCATGAAAACATTCCTCCTGAAATGCTTGTCCGAAATGTATTCATACAAGGGGCCGTCAACCAGACCACCAATGCGGATCGAGATGCATCGCAAGACAACCTTTAACAGGTGACCTATACCTCTAATTCTTTTAGTAACTCTAATCGTTAAATCTTATTCATTTTCCAAACCTGTAGCGTGACAAAAAATGTCGTTGGACAGAGTTCGCATTTCGATTCCTGCGCAAAAACAAACTCACAAATCTAGCAACCACATTTCCTCACAAAATCGCGTTCGTTGACGCTTCAACAGTTACTTTCATCCAACTCTCTTTTCCCGCTCTTCAATCGATTTCTCACCATGGCCGACCAATCGCCTTCTCGTAATGAAGACATGGACTCTCATGGTTCTGGCGCTCCTCCTGCTGAGGACACTCCTGCCGAAAATGGCGAAAAAGAACATCTCAACGAGCGTCGTCCCGAGACTCCTCGCAACTCGAGACCTGGGCGTGGAATGTTGTTTGAATCAAACTATGCCTTTCCCAGTGGTGGTGACGAGAAAGAAACCGAAGACTTCATTCAGCACGTCGCCGATGAGGCCGCTAATGAAGTAGCAAGTACGAAAGTCAATTTGGGAGGTTCATGCGGCAAATTGAACCGTTTGTCCGGAGAATTCAAGAAGAAGATTGACGATTTTTGTATCAATCACGAAAGCAAGTGGACCCAGGAATATTCGCTCAACCTGTTTGAAAAGGTCTATGACAGTGGAAAAGGCATGCTTTCCCGTGGTGATTCATTCGGGACAGTAGCGAAAAAGTTGTTCGGTCCCTACATGAAGGCCTACGGGAAACGCGACGAAGCGTTTGAAAACGAAACCAAGGCGATGAAGACGGCAGCTTGGAACGAACTCCTCACGCAAATTCCCAATGACTGCATTCGGGCTCGTGCTCGACAACTCGATGGTCTCCCTACCACGAGTGTTGGCGTCGATTCGGTAGCGCGGATGCCTTCGGATTCATCAAGCTCCGGCGCTTCTCGCCGACGTGGACGAAAGCGCGGCAACTCAGATAGCCGCTCGGACAGCGAGGAATCTTTCATCCCTGACGACAGTTCCGACAAACGCCGCAAGACTGACAAGTCTGGTAAGACTGATTAGGGCAAGAGCCACAGACACACGCATGCACACGCAAACAAAGAAAGCAACGATTCATTCCGTCATCCATTACACACATTGCCGAAAGCAACATAATCTCGCATCTATTTCGTATGAACGATAACATCAATAATCATTTAGTTTCAACTATCCATTCTACTTCACATGTAAAAAGCACCACACGTCCTGTCATCACTGACGGTCCTTATGGCTACAGGCTCGTTTTCTTGCGCGTCCAAAAAGTTTATGTTTCGCACAACTGAATCAGTCTCACCTTCTTCTTCACTTGCCTCGCCATCATCTGCGTCCATACTAGAATCATCCGACTCCGATCTCTTAGCCATCAACCCAGTGATACCTTCTGGATCTTGCATCACTCCAAAGCACAACGCAAAGACTCCTCTCGTCGTTTTCTGCACCCAAAGCAATAGATCCGATACGTAGTCAAGTAACCCGGCCTTTAGACCTAAAACAGCTTCATCTTCAGTAGGATCGTAGTCGTACGCATCTACAAAAGTCTTCAATTTGTACAACTTCTCCATAAGCTTGTCCATGCAAATAAGAACTCCAAAGTAATCTTCTGTCTTCATCATAGGCGCCAGTAAGCCGCACACTCCCTCGTACGTCCCATACGTATTTTCAGGCGGGAGATTACTGGTGTCAACGTCCAGATGAATCTGCAAAACATCCTCCAGAACAGTCTTCGCCATATCATAAGCGTACTCGACGTCTCGTGATATATCTTCAAAAACGGAATAGTCGCCATTGCCTTCTTTGAATGACCTCGTAATAGAGTCCGGAACTCCCCCTACGTGGTTCAACATAAGATGAAACGCACCAATGAATGCCTCTTCAATTCTAGTGATGCTATCGCTGTTCGACGGAGGATATCTATGATTCAAGAACAACGAGTTTTTAACATTCTCGCTCCTTACAGCAAGCGCATGGCAAAGTTGCGATGGACTCAATTCATCGTATATAGGATTCCAGTAGTAAGGCTTAGAACCCCCAACGACACTGAGCATTTCTGGTGGCCAAAACGACTTTCGTTCTCCAAATTTACCGGTACTCATTGCAAAATTGTGAGCTTCGAAAAATAGACACCTGCGAGCTCAATTTTCGCCCAAAAATAGACACCTGCGAGCTCGATTTTCGCTCATGTCAACGCGTGTGGGCGTCGCCCTTTAGGGCGACGCAACCGCGTTGACACATCCCATGACCAAATAAATCGCTTTCTCTTTAATTACGAACCCTTCTGTTTGGTACACATGCCGATCCTTACTCATGCACATATTCCAGAAATCCCAAACCGGACTCTTCGGGGCTAAATTTTGCAACCTCTCAACTGCTTCCACACCTCATGCACCTACTAATAGCTAATATTAGCAACTATATGACAACTTAGTCGCATAGCTTCCACAAATCTCTACTCAATACTCAGTCTGAATGGTCCTTCCCGGCTGGCCTGGCACCAGAGAAACTACTCGATAGGCAGTTGACCAAGGATCCCAATCCACGGACTACCACACAACCAATTTACGAATGAGGACATTAATAGACAAGCTAACTCAAAAGATATAGGGTAAACAAGTTGCTCGCATTAATTACTTTAAATCTGCTTATATATTAGATTGTAATTGAGTCGTTCTTCAACCCTTCTGTACCGGTCCGTGTAAATTAGTTTGTGTGATCTAAACTAGCACACGATCCGCAAAGCCTGTAGCCGAAAGTTTCGGGGTCCCATTTATTCGCTCGAATAATCAGAATCTTGAAGTGCTCCCATTCAATGTCCCAGTAGAGTTTTCTGATCCTGTGACAATGCAAACGGTAAAAGGCAATGTTGCAGTCGTAAACCTCTTCAGGAATCTTTCTGTGTCCTTCCAGAGCAAACTGCAGCAAGTGCTTTTTGTCTTCAAAAAAATCATGTAGCATCCACAATCTCCTATAGTTCTCTGCAATGCTCTCGTGTTCTTCTTCTGGGCTTTCCTCGGTACGATAATACACGTCCACACCCAAATCCAATAGCTCATGTAACTCCACATACTTCTCCACCATTGGCTCAATATGTTCCCTGTAGAATGGCATTACTACATCTGCTAGTGACTCTGAATACACCGGACAATTGAACATGTAGTCCACCGGGATAGGAGCTGACGTTTCAATCCTTTGACCATCCATTTCAAACAGCAACGTCTTCATCAACTTCTTGTGGCAAGCCGGACACTCATCGCGATTGCTCCCACGACCTTGAGCTTCCCACCTGCAATGAACCAAACTAGAATGGCTGTCATTGGCTCTTGGCTGCTCGTACTTGTAAAATAAACCATGAGTACACTCTTCACAGACAACATGTCCACAATGAAGTCCGAGCTTCATTTTTTCCAAGTAATCTGCACTATTCTTGTGACCGCATACTACACATTTCTGATCCTGAAAAGTTGAAGATCCAGTCATGGAATTCTCTATATGCCAACCACCATGCTTCCACTTAATATGAAACTCAAACTCCTGCCTATTCTTCCAGTTGTTATTACTGCGTACTGTAACATCCTCTGCATAAGCCATCATGTCGTCCTCCACACAAAGCACTGCATCTTGTCGAAAAATCCATTCGTGTTCTGTCGGGTTAGGCTTTTCCATGGATGCTGATGATTCTAACCTCAAAGCTGGACTAGTGGGAGGAGGGTAGAAATACTTGATACGTCTCTGAGGCATGTTAGTTCCCAATAAACCGATCTACAATCCCTTACATGAAATTTGTGCACTTACCTCGTCATCCAATAGCTGCCCTCTACTATCAATTACCGGTGACACTTGGACCATATAAGGCATCATTCCAACTGTCCTAGTCACCCAGTCTGCCAAAAGATACGAACACAGAGAACTAGTCTCCGTCTTTAAAGCCATCACACACGCGAAATTTGAACTAAATTGATCTGAAAACATCTTGCAGTTGCATTTAACTTTCTTCAGGACGTAAGGCATTCCTTCTATCGTCCCTTCACAGTTTGCATTACTACAAGAGTAGTAATCCTTGTGTATCAGCTTCACGTTTATCACTGACGCCGTTTGCAGCATCCAAAGTCCGCCGTGCCACTTCAGCTACTTCAGGGCACCCGATGTACGTTCCTACAGGAGGTGCCCTTCTAGCAGAAACACAGTCAAAAGGAAAAGGGTACGCATGACTATGCGACACATCAGGCAGTATAGCAATCACACAGCGCATATTCAATGCCTCTTTTTCTGGTTCATCACACCATTTTGTGCTATAGCGCTTCGGACTCTTTGAAGCACTCAATGCAGCTTTCACACGTGCCGAATACATCGTACAATGAAAAAATGAGACGTTCAACAGACCCAAAAAATGAGCATACGAACAGTTATTTTTTGGTTCGAATTCGTTATATTCTTTACCATTCGCCACCAACAACCGCCAATCAACAGCTATTTTGGCCGACACAGGCACACTCATCTAAACACCACAACATGCCTGCTTTCAGACACCTAAATCGCCTTACTTAACTCCATAAATCCTTTCGAAACTCAACATACAGACATCCACTACTGCTCGCTTACTCTACCTAATAAATAAGACCAACCGTCTTCTATTTTTTGCGAAACGTACCAGTACCACTGGCGATCTCATACAATGCTGGCGATCTTTTGCCTTGGCCGCCTATAGGTACTAGTACTGCTATCACATCGCTAAATCAACCCACTCTCACTCTTTTTTTGCCCCCTCATTGTCTGTCACAAACTTCCGCAACCAACCCTCACAAGCTATCACTATGGAGAAAGAAGAATTATCCAAGGACAATAAGTTCTTCGGTTCCACTGAGGCTAACCTTTTGTTCTGGGATGTATGGTTTACCATGTCAAAATGGGAACGCCTCCGCCATCTACAAGATTTTGAAAAGACGAAAAATACGGGCAGTTCTGGAAATCTCACCAAGACAGTTCAGACGCACGTGAGGTGCTATTCGACCATGTGCAACGAGTGCAAGCCAGAGACAGACTCCGATACGCTCCTTCCATTAAACGAAAAGGTCCACCTGACCCACCTAGCTCTCCAAACAAAATCCCTACAAAACTATTTCCGTCTGAGCCACCAGGTACCTATACACCCCCAACCAATGAACAAAAATCTTCCCCCCAACAAAAACGCTTCAAGACAGCTGAGAAACGTAGAATCCAGCCCACATCTGTTCCCCTATCCTGTCCATTGAATTTTCACATCCATAAACAACATCATCCAATGAAACATACACCTTTTCCAACCTTACAGCAGCAAATCATACAGCAGCACTATAACAAACCCAAAAGTCCATCTCCTCACTCTGCACCTACACTTCCCGAATCAACTTCTCTTCAGTCCCCATGCCCTTCCGAACAAGCTTTTACTGGCCTGAATCTCATTCCCTCTCTCACGCACGTTCCGACAAGCACCCCACCTCTTCCTCGTGACACCAAGAATGACACCACACTACCTATTGCTACCCACCAACAATGCAACCAAGATTCTGACCTTTCTATCCATCACAATGTTGCCCGCATGCCTTCCGCATCACACCCTGACTCAGAGACTCAGTCCCGGCTTGTTCCCAATAAAATTGTCAGAAAAACAAGTGACTCCAATGACCACTTCACGTCAGCCAACCATACCGCAGACCCCAAATTGGACCAATTGGATCAGATTTCACAAAATGTGACCAAAATTTAAAAAAAAAAAAATCGGTATCTCAAACCTCAATGCCCCATGAACCTGACGTCAAACCATAATTTATTCTCACTTCCTCATCATCACCAAATTCCTTAATCAAATCACAGGACCCTTTCGCTTCTCTTCGTCCACAATTAAATGCATATAATCTCATACATCCAAATACAAAAGTATATTTTAAAGGAGAAACTCCTACTAATTATATTACCAGATACCTTGAGTCCAAAAAAGACACAAAATAATATAATTATTCGTAAATTCATTAAAAATAATTATTTAACACGAATCCATTTTTTACACTAAACTGCTTTTATACATCCGGCACACTAGTACATCGATACGTTGCATTGACCCTTCGTCGTGAAGTCTATGGTCATGCCAAGATACGTGTGGACCTTTCCTCGGCTCACCGTCATCTCTCCAGTGCCGTCCTCGAATATGCTTTCGAATTCATCACGAAGCACTTGGATCAGCTGGTCGTTAACCTTCGAGTCCTTGTGGCTAAGCTTACAGTCGTCTACATGCCAGCAGACTGTTTGTTGTTTGCCGTGCACCATTCTGTTGGCTACACATGGGTCGTAAGGATTAATCTTAAATCCGTTCCGGACCATCGTCTTCCGGAACTTACGGTAGTATAGTAGGCTAGCTACCATGGTGCCGTAGATGGCATTCAAGCATTGCAGTAGCAACTGCTTGTTGCCTTTCTTATCCGTTGTTACGAACGGTTTGTAGACATCTGGGGCTATTTCACACAGCATGTCTACTAGTACTCCTCTTACTCTAATGATTACCATATCTTTTTCATCCTCGACTCGTGTCTGGATGAAGGCGTTCGGGATGTCAATTACTGCCACATCCCTTTCCTCTTCAGCGTCGATTATGCAGGAGAGTAGCACTGCTTCTGTCGACACTGTTGGCGAGCTTGCGTCTTCCTTGGAGATGAAGTCACGCTGTTTGTTGCCTCCTG